GGGAACATAAAAATAATGACTCAAAATAAGATTTTCTTTCATTCATTTATTATTATACTTTATATACATATTCATAATTTACAAATAAAAAATTTAAAAAGAAATAATTTATATTTTAAATGTTTTATTCAATCGCACAATAATAATATCTTCTAAAATATCATCCTTGAAATTTCCACGTAAATTATACAATATATATTTCAAATATGAAAATTCACGTTCTACCTTTACCTAAAATAGAGTTATCTTTATAAAATTATTGTACTTGTGTCGCCGGTACAGCCATGAAGATTCTAGATAAGATATATAATTCTAGTATATTGAAGAATTTTCTTCCCAGAATTTTAAAATATTTGAATCCTTATTTATTCTCTTAACTTCTGAGAACTTTTCTATTAAAGATGCAATAGGCATTTTTTGATCCTCCTTTCTATCTGATGATAATAAGATTTTTTTTCTCTATCTAAAAATAAAATTTCGAGATCATCAATGTTGCTATCATTATTATTAGTATCACTACAACCAGTAGGTATTGTCGTAGCCTCCAACATATTGTAAATAATGGAGTTTTGCATATGCCATATTAGCCATTTGTTTTGCTCAATACTCAATAAAACTTATCGAGGGTCTAAATATATAGAAGCATATACAACACTATTTTGCAAATATTCTTGCTTTCGAATTTTCATGTTTTATAATATTTCATATAAAAAGGGCTTTAAATTTTTCTAAATCTAATCGGCATCTAACCATATGCCATAAAAATCAAATAAACATAATTGTTCTGATTGTAATCTTAATATTGTTATTTTTAAAGGAACTAATACACTAGTAAGGTCCTTTATTTGGCACCAATCATCTTCCGACAAAATGACTTCACATCTCCTATAATAAAATCATTGCAGAAATCTTTCAAACTTAATATCTAGCATCATACAAATTGAGGACCAACGTGTTGTGCATTATCATTTAAATTAAAATATTATTACTTGCACTACAAAATAATTCACTTTCAAAATAATCAACATATTTCTATAACATAGCATATTAAAAAATTTACATAATAAAATATTATTACACTAGAAAATAATTTATGATATCAATCTCTAAATAAAATGGAAGTCCAGGAAGAAAATTGAAAGAAAATCGCGAAGATAAAATAAATAATTCCACAAAAAAAAGTTATTAAAATTTAAAAAAATTTATATTATTTTTAAAATATTTTTATGACACCTATAACCCTTGGACCCTCCACTTTTAAAAAGGGTCAGGGTTCGGGTACAGCCAAAATTCGAGGGTCGGGGTTCGGGTTCACATCCCTGATTCAAATATTTTCAAAATTTTGTCTTGGGGGAGGGGTAAAATTTTTATTAGCTTAAAATTATATTTATGAAAACAGTCAAATTACCCTTCCCCCCCCATTAATTACGCGCCTGATGCAAATCAATACCCCCCCCCCCCGTTCTTGTAGGTATTGCTTGACAAGATTTTATATACTAGCAGCGCCAATATGATTTAACTTATTAAAGATCGCTTGATAATTTTGTTTAAAATATGTTAATCAATTTTTGAGTTTCATTTCATTATTTTTACTATATATTAGTGATCTGCATCGGGCCTAATTTTTCAAGCCCGGCCCGGCCGAAATTTTTTTATAAAGTTTTGTCCGGCCCGAACCCGAAATTTTATTAAAAAAAATTTGACGCCCCGGCCCTAATTTATTTAAATATAGAAATTAATTTTTATAATTACTCAAAATAAACGATATATGTTATACGGCGTCTACTTTCTATAAATAAGATCACATATTTTTATTTTACATAAAAAATTCAACATAAAATTGATAAATTTAGATATATTTTAAAAAATTTCTAAGGCCCGGCCCGAATTTTTTTTTTCATATAATTATGCCAATTTTCTTACTCAAGGATACCAACAAAAATATCGGGCCCGGGTACGGGCCGGGCTTACTTTTGCAGATCTCTACTGTATATATTGATCAAAATGAAAGAAATTCGACACCCTCAAAATGCAAATGAAGTAAAGATGACCAATTAATTATAAACCAAATAATTATCATAATTGCTCCAAATGAATTTCTTTATTTTTGAATATAGCTGTAAAAATTAATATTTTTATCCAAAAGTAAGTTTACTCATAGATAATCGTAACATTTATCCATTTTTATAAAAAAAAGAATTGGGCACCTCAAACATAAAAATGCCTTAAAATAGAAATCCTCTAATGATCTTTCATATCATATGGCCTATGGTAGGCCAATAATCGAGCTGCATGGGCCGATCTTAATTCCTTTTGAACTGAGATTGGTTGGACATGAGCATACATTCACTCATGTTTTAAAATGTATTTCTAATCGGATACGAACCTCGACAAAATTTTAAATTTTGTTTTCCGTTTTTATTATGAATATTATTTTCAACTAGACTTTTTTTTAAATTATCGTTTTGCGCTTATAATTTTTCCACATTTTGTTGAAATATTATAGTTTTCAAACAATTCAGTAAAAAAAATTTTCTGATCGGATCCTATCTTTGAAAAAGAAATACTCCGCCGGAAATAAGCCTGTCGCAAAGCTTTTGGGTAATTTTATTGGAGATTTGGAACTTCTCTTAAAACTAAAAGAAATTAAGTTTGCATGTTGAATATTTATTGGCGCCGTAACATTTTGTATAAAATATTAATAAGTGAATCAATTTTTAAAATTATGTTTTTTTTACTTTATTTTCAGGCCCAAGTTATCAACATCTGTTTATATTGTCAGATTGAATGTTTTCTAGTATTAGTTAAGGATATTCACTATATAGTATATTTTGAAATAAAGATTTAAAATTATATATTAACCGGGTTCAATATTTTTTCCTGAACCTGGAGTTAAACTGAACCCGATGAAATTTATTATCTGGTTCGAAGCCTCTGAAAATTTGCTGCATATCAAATTGAAATAGGAAAATTTCCCTGGTCTGCTTAATCATTCAACAATTTAGTAGAGGCACAAAAGTTATAAGATATGATATAGATAATAATTTGAATAATATAAATTAATAATTTTTTTTTCTATGAGTTGGATTTTGTAATAGCCTCTTCGGGTGTTCCTAAAATATAAACAACATTTGCCTAAGCTTGGAATGTAACAACATGCTTATATTATGGATTGCATAATTAGTTTAATATTTTTTTTAATGATGGTTTTTGAAAAATAATTATCTTGCATAGATTTATAATTTAATAAAAAATATTCGTATTGTTTCCGAAATTAATTTAAAATTATATATATTGTTTTATTACTTTTAAAACAAACACATTTTTAAATGGTCGAATAACTTTTTTTTATAGGTTTTATAATTTTGTTGAGACAATTAAAATCACAGTAAGTTATATTATATTAATTTTTTTCTCAGAAGATAAGAAAAAGGGGAAGAAGTAAAAAAATTAATTTTTTCTTTAATAGATACTGGTTGCTTATAATTTTCGGGTTATTATAATAAATGTTACATCATCAAACAAAATGATTTTAATCAAAACCAGATATTATAAAATATATTTATATTCAAATATTTTTTTTATAAATCAACGGATCAAATCTGTTTATATTCAAGATTCAGTACTACCTTAGTTATATCTGCATATCTTTCCCAAAGAAGATAAAATCCGTTCTGTAAGACCTATGAATTAATACGAAGTTTTTGATTAAGTGCATTAAGTAATAATTTCTTAAAAATGGAATGAAAAATTATGAATTCCCACCTATAATTTGTAATTTTGTCAATTATGCGATATATCGATTTTGCCTTCTGACAAAATGTAATTACATTTAAATTTTATATCAATTTTTTAAGAAAAAAGGTTATTGATTATTTTGAATCTAGTCCGTTGTAACTAAAAAAGGAAAATTTTGCTATTTAAAAGGGGGGTATTAAACGTTTAAGATAATTCGAGGATAATAGGTTTGAAGAATACGACGATCAAAAAATAAAAATTAATCCGTTTGATTGAAAATTTTTCTTAAAGGGTTAAACTAAAAAAGTTGGCACATTACCACACTCGAGTAAATAGAAAAGAAAAAAAAATTAAGAAAAAATGAAAGGATAACGAACGAAGTTCTCATTTCGAAATCGGATTATCTCATTTTTTAAAGTTATTATATACTTTTCGTTGGCCATTTAAATAAATAAATAACTTTACTATTTTTTTTAAAAAAAAGAAAATGCAAATTAAAAATTTATTATCTGCAAAATCTGAATAAGAAAGATAAATATATATATTTAAATGTTACCCAACGCTGGGGATGGCATCCACTCACGTAGAAGCTGAGCGTGAAAATTTATAGTATTTTTCGGTGAAAGTATATTTCCATGTTATATATAAATATATATATATATATTAGGAACGAAAAGGCCTTGCTACCGAAATTAAAAATAGATATTGTATTGTTCTTCCACTGAAAGGGAGTTCTTAAGGTACAAGTGTCAAATTATCGGACATTTGTTTTAAGGGTGCAGAGAAGTTCGCTGATCTTAACGCCCTAGCGATTATGTTGTTTACTATACTATGGCATGAGGATCTTTTTAATTAAAAAAAATAAAAAAGTTAATTTTTTTTATAACTTTAGCATTTCAATTTTACCTAATTTCTAAGCAGGGATTATGTTGTTCTAACAAAATCCTCATTTATAACCAAGATTTTTGTATAGTAAAAAAAATTGCCTAACCAAATAAATAAAATATAATAGATATAGATAACGAACCTTTTATTAATCTCTCAAAATCAAATAATTTTTTTTAAACATCAATTTATATCTTAAATTTACAAAAGAGGAAAATTCATTCATTTTCATTGCTAACTATTTATAAGTTGGAATTAACCTCCTCATCTTTGAAAGGATAGAAGAAAATTGAAGGCTCCTTACTTATCCATGACACGCGATTCTTTAAAAAAGATGATACTGATCAATAAATTTATTGCTCTATTAAAAATTTTAGGGACATCCTGGTTACCTACATAGACCAGTTCATGAACATTGATACACTGAATAAAGAGATGGTCGATATATGTCATTTCTCTGACTCAAAGCCATTCACAATGAAATGGATTGACGATGAAGGTAAACAAAATAATAATTAAATAATGAAATTATATTTACATTCAAATTTTTTTTTGACTCAATTGTCTATTTTTTTTGCCTCATTTGTCTATTTTTTTTGTATCGGACTGAAGACATTGTTGAAAATCGGTCCAATCTTTTTTAGATATTTAACTCACTAATTCTTTTTTTTAAAATCAAAACATTCGCAATCACCTAACCCTCCATCCCAATTACCGCGAATTCACGGCGAAATATACAAAATATGATATAAATATATTTTACATTAATTGTAGTATACTTCACTGCGAATTCCGGCTAACTCTGAATGCAGCTTCGCTCAACATCGTTCTACTTCTAACTTTTGTCTTAAAATATTAGGTTTTTTAAAAATTATTATTAATACAAACATTTTTAATAGGAGATCCATGCATGCTAACAAATCAAAAGGAGCTTGACGAAGCTTTGAGATTGTACGAATTGAACGAGGACAACGACATGACCATTCACGGTAAAATATTTTACCTATTATAAAAATTTATTAAGAATTTACATAAATTATTATATTACATCACTTACGAAAATATTTAGCTAAAATTTTATTACTAGTGTTGTTAGTTACTTTTGAAAAGTAGTAAGCTAGCTATCAGCATTTTTATTCATAAATTTTAATTAAATGAATTAAAATAAAATAAAATTAAATGAAGAAATAATTGCATTAAAATCATATTTATTTTTACCTAAAAGTATATATAAATAACACAGTGTGATATTTATTTTTCATAAAAATTTAGGCTTGAATTTTTATTTGACTTTATTAACAATAAACCAATCAAAATTGGTCTTTAAAAGGCTTGCTCGTTTTTCTCCAAAGATAAGCATCCTCGGACTATAAGCAAACATACAGAGGCGCTTGGTATAAATAAGAAGGCATGTCTACTATTTTAAAGTAGAGGGAGGGGGATTTTGGGTAACCTTTATACAATTTGATATTTTTAAGCCTTATAGATTACATAATTTGGTTTTACATTTTTTTAAATTTAGAATTTTGCTATAATTTTATTTATTTATTGTTTGTAATGAAACATTCTCATTTTTAGGGGAGTGGGCGAGATGCAAGGGATATCAATGTTATATATTTTGTTTAATAAACAGATTTTAAATTCTGGAAATCATCTTATAAAAATAGGGTTTAAGGATATATAAGTATTAAACATATTTTTAAAAAGTAACTAGTAACTTGAAAATTATTTATTGTCTATATATTTCAAAAAAGTATTTTTCTCAAAAAAGTAATCAGTTCGTTTATCAACATTAGTAATTACAATGAATTTATAATCGAATTTCAATATATATCATGTAACCCGGTTTAAATTTAAAATTGAATTAGTGATTTCATTTCACCTATTTATGATCATTTTCGGGCATTTTTTTGTTTCTTTTAACAATATAATTTTTAGAAAATTATCCCCAATATTTTTCGAGAACTTGGAATGTACTGAAACCGTATTGATAATTTGGGGTTCCATTTAATGATGTATATAAAGTACTTATACATTTAAAATTGTTCATACATAGAAGTCATACTATTTTGTGGTTTACACGTTGAATACATTACATTGGGTATTATAAATAAAGCAATTAATCGACTTGCTAACCATAAAATAGCGATAGAACTGACTCTTATATATGGACATTTAATTAATCGCCAATATAGTAGTATATATATCATTGGTTCCTTCTGGTTTCAGAACATTCCAAATCCCTTATATTTTAAAATCATGTAATAAATACTAAATTAACTATACTTTTTCACTCAATTTTTTTAAATTTTAATTCTTAATATAACGGCTTGTTTTCATCTTTCAGACCTTAAATTTTTTAAAATTGTTATTTTCATAAATCTTCTATTCATTATGAATCAATGTTAAATACTAGTGTTATTAAAAAGATGGTTTGGGTCGATTTTTAAAAACAGCCCGATGAATATTTTAGTCAAAAATATTCATAGCTCGAGATTTAGTAAATAGATGTCCAAACCTTTTTGCCCTCTATGAGCAAAATCTTCAGGCTTCCATAATATTATTGATTATAATAGAAATCTGACCATTTTTAAAAATCGAAACCATGCTTTTTAACAACACTATTAAATACGTCCGCGACTCGTGGAGTTACTCATTAAAGGATATATTTTTTTTTATTTCTTATCCAAGTTTTAGAGAAATTTAACCTATTTTCCTTAAATTTTGGTTAATTTTAAATATTTTTTTTTATTAGTTTATTATGAATTTAGCAATTAAAAAACCGGGTTGACCAAACTACAAATACCTAGGTAAACTGCAAATGATTAGGTAATTTTTTTTGATATATTCTCTATTAATTGGAGTCAAATTCATTTCTTATGATACAAATAACTTATAAAAATAAATTATTAGATATATTCAATAATAAAGGAATATACAATAATTGTATTTCCTTCTTATCTCATAATAAATAGTTTTTAATTAAATATAATTATTAATTACATGTTAAATTTCAATAATATTAAACCCGCAAGTTGTCGATTATTATTTTAAAATACTATTATATATAAAATATGATAAAAAGTTATATATCATAATTTACTCACTACATGGTGGAGGGCTATGTATAATATTTAAAACAAAACCATTCGCCTAAATTATTGTTAATCAAACGATGTACAATATTATTTTGTGTCATAATATTCAATAATACCAAGTGACTATTTAAATAAAAAAAAATTAAATATTATTTATCTTGATTTATCTAACAGTATTAGTAAATGATTAATTTATATAATTAGTATCATATTTATATAAATATTTCATAACACGATGGCATTCATTCATCTACCTATTTTTTTTACCTCATTTTATCGGAATATTACAAGATTACAATCATAGCAAGTAGGCAGGCGCGTACGCAGGAATTTGGTCTGGGGGGGGATAATAAATTTTTTTAAGAAATAATATTTTTAATTAAAAATACTAAACATAAATTTATTAGGATTAATAACTTTTCTAATACACAATTTTAAACTAATGTGAATTAAAAAAATTATATATATAAACCGGCATTTAAATGTGAATCATAAAATATAAAGTGAATATAACCCACGATATGAATCACCTAAATGACCCAAAATTGAAATTTGAATTTTTTGAGCTTTTAATATATATAAAGTATAAAAAATTTAAATGTTGTAAATATAAATTAATACACAAAAAGTTTCTTAGGAATAATTGTATTTTGTATGTTTTGAGCTAATTTTTCAATTATCAATCCTTGCTTGGCGTTAAATGTCTATGAATATTCAAAAGATCCAAATCATTCAATCTACTTTCAGATGTTGTATTTCATAGGTATGTTTTTCACAGACTTGCAGGCCCGGCCCCTGAGCCGGACCGTATTTTAATTTTTTTAAATATACCCGGACCGGGCTCGTAATTTTTTTTTTTAAAAACATCCGAGCCGAGCTGGGCCTGAAAATTTTTTTAAAAAAAACCCGGGCCGGAAAAAATTTTAAAATAAAATCTGGGCCTGGTCCTGCAAATGGTACCTCTGCAAGGCTCTGTTATTCTTCTTAAAAAAGTGAATGTTCTCTCATTAGTTTACTAAAGAGCTGCTAATATATATATAACCATTTTAATAATTGGGAGTATAATCTAAAATGATTTTTTGGGACTGTATCAACCATAGTTAATCTTTTAATCATAGTTATTCAGCTAATAAGGCATCATAAGATATTTTAACATCTTCATGATAAAAATATAACAAATATTTATATTTTTTTTCTATCACCATATGAAAAAGGTTGGGAGAGGGGACATTTGTTTTATAATACTCTTCTACTGATCCTATATTAATGTTTTGATGATGAGCTTGCTTGCTGCAAGTCGAGGGGGACAAATATTTAAGACGTATAGCTCTGCTTTTGACTCAACAATAACATATAAAATATGAAATTCTTCAACAACACTAGCTCTATTTCCTTGAGTTCTAATAAAATGCTCTCCGCTATTCTCATCTTCTTAATCAAGTCAATGTTATGTTTTTAAAAGTATTACATAAAATAGTTGTATAATTAAATAATACATTCTAATGAGAAAAAAAATTTGGAATAAGTATTGAATCCAATAATTTTCTTGCTTCTGAGGAAATATTTCTTTCAAGCCATTGTGATATTTCAGTAATAGCATTAATAATCAGCTCTTCTAACTCCAAAATAGCTGTTACTGTGGCGGAGACTCGATCTCGTTGGACAAGCTTGCAATTTTTTTCTCCTGTTGGACAAGGAGTTTCAGAGATAATTATTATTTTATTAGAAATTTAGATAAATATTACGCCACTAAAATTTGAAAATAATAGGTAAATTACGCCAAGGAAAACTTGAAATCGAAATTGATTGATAAAATAACTTAGTAGATGAATGTGATAAATAAAATATATATATATATATGTATATATGAGATAAGAATAAATATTAACAAATATAAATTAATATTAACAATAATATTTTTGAAAAATATAATCCGGCATCTGCATTTTTTGGCTTTGGGGGGGATTTGTCCCCCTGCCCCCCCCCGCTGCGTACGCGCCTGCAAGTAGGCTATATTCATTTCAACAAAATTATATTAATTTTTATCTAATACATTTAATAAAATTATTCAATCATAAATAGATCGACATTAAGTATTTTAAAGCTTACAAATAATAATCCTTATCAAGTAACCTTATATTACTTTGGAAATAACATATTATGTGAGTGTATATATATATCAGGCCCTATTCTAGTTTCATCCATTGAAGCGGTTTTTTTAACAGCATTAAACGAATATTTGAACACGAAATTGAAATGTATACAATGATTTTATTTGAAAATTGATACATATAAAAATATACAAAAAATATAATTATGATCAAATATGTTTATAAAATTAGATGGAAGATATGAATAGACTTATTGCTTAAAATAAATAAATTGATTTAATTATTTTACAATTATTACATTATAAAGTTTGTATAATACGGATTCAATTATACAATATATGTAAGTAAGAAAATATTTATAACTATATTACAATTGATATTATGATCAATGATTGAGTGTAAAACTAATAAAAATAAAGTTTTAACAATGTAGTTTTGGTTGAGATGTATCTTTTAATGCCCAGAAGGGCCTGATATATATATATTAAATTTTAATTAATAATCTTATTTCATTGATTAAATTGAAAAGGTAATGATGTAAAAGATAGATGTGAAGCCATGCTCTTCATTGCTAAGATTGCAGAAAAATACTTCAGTTAATTCAGCATTTAATCAACTTGATGATGAAGTAGTAATAGTTGGAGAATTATTGTTAACTGAAGATGGATATGAATGGTAATAATTAAGGATAGCTAACGTCAAAATGGGTGATAAATAAGCGATACTAGATGGGGATTGATTAGAGGTTAAAAAATACTTGGAGATTTTTAACTGAAATGGAAATATTAATGGTAATAATTAAGTATAGCTAACGTCAAAACGAGTGATAAATAAGCGATACTAGATGGGGAATTGATTAGAGGTTAAAAAATACTTGGAGAATTATTGTCTGCTGATGATGAAATATATGATAAATGACTAATACTAGATAGGGATTTGATTGAAGGTGAGATAGGTGGAGAATCATTGCCAAATGAAATTGGAGAAATCGAATAGTAAATCATCATTAATAGATAAAATAGTTGGTAAATAGCTAATAATAGGTGGATATTCGATTGGAGGTGGAAAAATTGTGGGAATTATTTTAAACTAATGGAAATATGAATTATGCATTCTCAATATGACTAATAATATTTGGAGGACTCGACGTTAAGTTGGCAGCAACTTGCCTATTTTTCCATCAACCAAGTTTCTAGACACTGATATTATTATGTATATGTTATTGAAATCCATATAGAATCAATACCAACGGGTATTAAAAACAATGTTATATTTACCATAATAAGTAATAAAGACAATATGAGCCTGAAAGAAAAAGGGAAAAAATTGGTGTAAAGCGATGTGTGTGGCGAGTGGACTGGTATATTCAGTTACAACAAAAAATTACTATATAAATATCAATGATAATATAACTGCAGAGTTGTTAAAAGCTACTTTTAAGTATTGCGCTACCGCTATCGCTATCGCTATTTGTCAAAAAAAGTAGCTCGCAATTAGCTACTATCTTTTAAAAGTAACTTTAGCTACTAAGCTACTTTTTATAAAAAAAATTTACAAACAAATTTTTTATTTTTTGCTTATAATGTTATGGTATAGTAAATATATAAAAATCAACATTTATAAATATTAAAATATAGTTAGTTTTGATTATAAAAAAATGAATGTAATAAAAATAAATATTATGATAATTTGTTGCATTTTAGTAATAAAATCATTTATTATCATCAAGCTATAGCGACGATCAGAAAGTATAAGTTCTGCCTTACTAAATAATCTCTCGACACTAGCACTTGAGGGTAAGGGCGTATTTAATCTTATATACATATTTTTAATATAAGATAGATTATCAATAATTTTATTTGCAAGTACATCGTATGTCTGGCATCCTATTATCATTTTGAGGGCTAATGCCATAGATCTTCTTTTTAAAGTCCTAGGATCTAGCCAATGGCCTGTGATTCCCAAATAAGCTCAAAAATATTTAATCAGGTCAATTTATAAATATAAATAAGTTTTTATCTTCTGTTATGTGTCCATCTATCTCCCGTGGTACATATATATGATATCTCTGATAACTCTACTATTAGAGCATCTTTCATCATTTTAAAGTTATCTGCTATTTTATTCATTAGTGTCTGGCGGCATACAATTATTGTACCAGGGGATAGAGTTTTAATCATCATGGTAAATGAAGGATTATCAACCAAGGACATTGGCTGAACTGTATAAATTATAAAATCAACAATAACTTTATCAGCCAATTTCTGAGAAATATTATCATTTACATTATTATTTAATTTGGTTTGATTTGAAATAGTCTTTTTGGATGTAGAATCGCCTATATTAAAATTATTTAGATGTTTCTTATTTCCTTAAAACTCATGAATAGTCTTATAAAATAAATATTATTATATTGTAAAAATTACAATTTACCTTTAGGTGTTTCTTCAGGTTATAGCTACTGGACTAATTTGAGGAAATATTTTTTTTACATTTTAAACAAATAAATTTGAAGCCAATTTTGGATTATATATTTATTTAAAAAAATTTTCAAATCTAGGGAATGGAAAATTTGTATTATAGCTATTAAGAACATTTTATTCCCTGGTATCTTCCATTTCATTAATATCATTGCCTGAATCACTTTTAACGATTTGGATATCCATAGGCGATGATATTTTAAAATATTAACACGTGATTTAGGTTTATAATACAAATGAAAATATAAATTACAAATTGAAAATATATTTCAATTTCAAAATTAAATAATAAATCATAAAAATTATAATTAATTATGATATTATATTTAAAATTTCATGTTTATACTTACCTTCATTATATTTTTTAAAATTCAAAAAAAGTAGCTCGCTAAAAAATTAAATAATGTAGTCGCTATTAGCTATAGCTACCAAAAAAGTTAGCGCGCTTATTTAACAACTCTGATAACTAGCAGTGGATCTGCAAGGATGGCTTATTTAGCAGTTCACAACAAAACAATATAATCATATTATTGCAGCAAACCGGCGACCAAATCTTAAAAATTTGGCAATTTCAAATCGTTATTATTCGAAAATGAAAAATTAGGTAGAAATGATTTGATTTAAAATTTGATAATTTATCAGGGTATTTTAAGCTCTATCACATAAAAACTGTCAATTGAACAATTCAGGTGTGGTATAGGCGCTATCCATTCCACGATTAGAAGGCTAGCAGTATGATTGAAATGCTTTCCCCAAAGCTGCACTTGATGCATGAAGATGCATCATTTGTGCCCAGCCTCTTACCATCAATGCATCATTTAAAATTAGATTGTAATTAGTAGTTAATCATTCATCACTTATTGTTAATGTAAAATTTATCATCTAAATCTAATACTTTCTATTAATAATTAATGTTCCCTCATGACCAAAAATTGCAAGAGACAAGCAACGATAAAAACAATTAGCATCTCCAATAACTTTTATAGGGCAAATAATTTTCCAATAGATGCCCCTGAAATGATTTTAATAACCTTTGAGAAATAAGGTCTTCCTCCCCAATAAAATTTATTATTACATTTAAGTGAAATATTATAATGTAATCTAATAAGGCTTAATTAATTTAATGCTGAATTAATTTAAATATTTTTCTATAATCTTAGCAATGAAGAGCATTGCTTCACATCTATTTTTTCCATCATTGCCTTTTAAATTTAATTAATAAGATTATTAATTAAAATTTAATATATATATCAGGTCCTTCTGGGTATTTAAAAATACATCTAAAATTACATGGTTAACACTTTATTTTTTATTAGTTTTACACTCAATCATTGATCATAATATCAATTGTAATATAGTTATAAATATTTTCTTCCTTACATATATTGTATAATTGAATCCTATATAATATTTGTAAAATCATTAAATCAATTTATTTCTTTTAAGCTATAAGTCAATTCTCATCTTCCATCTAATTTTATAAACATATTTGATCATAATTATATTTTTTATATATTTTTATATGTATCATTTTCAAATAAAATCATTGTATATTTCAATTTCTTGTTCAAATATTCGTTTAATACTGTTAAAAAAATTTCTTAACCACCCCTCCAAAATTTTTTGTCTGCCCCCCCCCCAATGGATGAATCCAGAATTGGGCCTGATATACATATACTCACATTATATATTATTGCCAAAGTAATATAAGGTTACTTGATAGTGTTTATTAACAATATAATTTACCGGCGAATGACTTTGTTTTAAATATTATACATAGCCCTCCACCATGCATATTATGGTAATTCAGTTTATTAAAATAAACGTTTAAATAACTTTTCTAAATTATTATATTTTCTATATAGTAGTATTTTAAAATAATAATTGCCATCTTGCTGATTAATATTATTGAAATTTATAATGTAATTATAATTATTTTTAATATAATTATGTTAATGGATTTAAACTATTTATTAAGAGTTAAAAGGAAATACAACTATTAATTTATATTCCTTTATTATTGAATATATCTAATAATTTAAATTTATAAGTTATTTATATCATAAGAAAATGAATCTCACTCCTATATCAAAAATTATTACCTAAGCATTTTTAGTTTGCATTAGTATTTGTAGCTTACGTAGGCATTTGCAGTTTAGTCAAACCCATTAAAAACTATTATGATTAATTTTAACAAATGATAACTTATAAAAATTTTAACGAATCGAAAAAAACCAATATTAATTTTTAAACCGGAACGAACCGATGTTATTTTTTTTAAGAATAACCGTAACGGAACAGAATCGAAATGGAACTTAGTGTTTAGGTTTGACATCCTCATGAAAACTATTTTAAAACAGCAAGACATTTTTTCGTTCCTGACAGATTTTATTATATATATAAATGTTTATTTGTATATAATTGTATTTCTCTCGTAAAATATTTATAGTTTTTTCCGGCAAGCCTGAAGCACCTGGATGTTTGTGCCCCGGAGAAGACAGTTAGAATTTATAAATTTTTATTTAATATAATTAAATATTTACTAAATTCTCTTTTTTTTACAAATTGCTAGTTTGTTCACATTGAATGCGCCAAAAATAAATAAAGTTACTCTAGCATACCTTCTATTGGGAATATACGATTTTTTTTATAAAGCTGCGACATCTATCATATCAATAATGACATTTTCCCCTTTGGATCTTCAATGTGAACATGCGTGGAGTCTAATAAATCAAATAAATAAATAAAAACTCTTTTATTTAGAAAGTGTCTACAGGAGGGGAGCTAAAAGATGGAGAAAATTGTACCGCATAAATGGACATTTGTTTCAGTTGAAACGATTTAGTAGGGTAATGATGAATACCAATATTTATACAAAACACGTGTTTAACCCTTGAGTGGTAAAGGTGGAAAAAATAACTCGAGTGTTTGGGTGGAGCATAGCCCGGCATCATTTTAAAACAGCTATATCTTACTCAACTTTCTATATTAAGTTTTGGTGGACTTTTATTAAGTTAACCTTAAATTAGTTATAAATATTAAAATTTTTGAAGATTTAAATGATTAAATAAAGGTTTTATGAGAATATTTGTAAACTTGATATTTTTACTATAAAATTATATTTAAAAAACATACAATAATCAAAATTTTAAATAATTTATCTTATGTTAAAATATACTTTTTTTAAAAAAAATGTATATAACTTGAAAAAAATTTAATAAAAATGCATAAAACTTTGTAGCATGGAGGCTACCGAAAATCCAGGTTATTAACAATTTTTTTATAATAACGATATAAAAATTTCTGAGGTGATAGTATGCTCTCTAGGTACCACTCAAGGGTTAAATTTAATTTGAAAGAATCAAATTTTTCCATGTTTGTAATTTATAGGGTAGGTATTCTACAATACTGGAATACATTTCTGGTTAAATCATATTTTTGAAATTTAAAAAACACCCTCAATACTGGCAGAGCATAGCATCCTACATCTAATAAAACTATTTTAATTTGTTGATTTCGTTTTTCTTTGGTTTTACTTTAATTTAATTATCTAACCAATAATATATTATTTATGATATAGAATTTTAGAACTGTTTTTAATTAATAATGAAAATAAATAAGAAAACAATAATTGAACCTTAAATTTAAAGAAGGGTTCGGGTTCAGTAAAATCTCGTTCGATTCTCAGTCTTGGCTTAGAGCGGTAGTAACTAAAATTTTAATCGAAAATAAAATCGCGAGTTTTTTTTATATTGGTTTCTTCCATATGGATTTTTTTACATGAGTTTCTTTTCCGATACTTATAATAAAAAATCTTATATTGTTTTTTTCAAAAAAAAACATTTTATAAAAAATTAAAAGAAAGCTATATGCGTGCTATGTAGCGATCGAATATGGGGCTTAGGGAGACAAGGTTTAAAATGCTTAAACTGCAAACTACTTATTCACAAAAAGTGTCATAAATTTGTCAAAATAACATGCACTAATGCTAATTTTAGTTGGCAAAGTATCGAAAATAATACCAACAACGGTGGAAGCATATTAAGCGAAAGTAATGTCCAAATTTTTGATAAAGAGGAATATTTTGATACTCGCGACACTGGCCTAACGTTTATCCAAAAAGAGCATATGGAGGAAGAAACGATCGATAAATGGCACAAAAATGATAATAACAAAATCGGATTAATGGGTGTAGACCAGCCGTATGCCAAGAAGAAGATGTCGTTCGATTCTGCTCTTCATCACGTTGACGCAAATAATTTTGTCTTCGATAAAATACGAGCCGATTACAAAGTCAACGATAATGGCCTGTCTAAAACCAACAAAATCTCGACTACTAATTATGTCGATAAAGTAGGAACCCCGGGTAAATCAAAAAACTGTATAAAAAATGGAGTCAACAGCAATCTCAAGAACTACTCTAAGCCCTTGCTCAAAGATATATCTCAAGAATTTCCTATTATTACCTCAGGGATGAATGGTTCCGGAAAAAGTTTTGTTAATGATTTCATAAAAAATTTGAATAAAGTTTTTTTTAAGTTGGAGAGAAATGTAAGATTTTTATTTAATAATTCTAAAGTTGCAACAATATTAAACTCATACATGCGAAGAGAGTTGAGCAAACGCGAATGCTTGTATTTAAAATACTACAAAATAAAATGTATTTATTTATTACATTTTACGATTTTCAGACGAATACAAATATAAACTTTTTTATTATAAATTGAAATTATTTTTTTTTGTCAGGTAGATACTTTATTTAAAAAACAAATTTTCACAAATTATTCTTTTACAAATTATAATTAAAAATATATATTAAAAAACAAATAAGCATATATTAAAAATGAATTTTAAAAAAAATATATATAAAAGAACTGAGGGAAAAAAAAATTTAATAAAAAGGGTACAAATTACCCTAGTGAATGCTTAAAAAATTGGACCCTGCTGACAAGTAAAATCCTTCATTGGGGTCCCCTGAGATCTGCCTCATTTTTTCCTATGGTTTTAATGAAATGAGAGCATCACTTCCAAACATGCCTAGGGTATTGGTAACGATTGGGATAACAACGGTGTTGGTGAGGCAAGCATATTTGTTTTTTTTAGGATTTCGGCCTTTTCGATGGCAGAAAATGAGAGGTTGGACTTGGCGGCAAAATCAACACAGGTATAGTCCCAAGCAAGTGGGAGACCATTGGTTCAGGGAATGAGAGATATGCCATCAGGGCATATGGCGTTTTCGTTTGAGAGGCCCACTGGTTCGAGGGTGGATGGAATATTAACTTTTTTAAGAGCAGCTAGGAGAATATTGTTAATAGATTTATGACGCGGTTGTCTCCATGGGAGAACTTGCAGTGCAAGGGATGGTAAGATTTCGATTCGATGGGATGGCCGAAGTCGATGCAAATGGAGGGAACCACGGCATTACAGCCTGCGGAGGGCTATGGAAATGCGTAGCTGTTAGCCAGTCAAGAGGAGGCCAAGATTGGAACTGGGGATGGCTTCCAGCCATTCGTAACCTGCGATTGCATAATCTGTGACCCGAGTTAGCGAAAAAATTAACATCCTATTTCATTTCTAAAATACCGAAAGCGAAAACACAAGTTTTTTTGAAGGTGATAAGGAGATAGTAATTGAAGAAAATGAGTTTCTATATTGAGCTATTATATTTATAAGATTTTGCAGGGATTATGTATGACAACTTCAATATCTTCTAAATGCAATTTGACTATTATGAATGGAATATTTTTTAAAATATAATTAATAATATAGAGAAAACCAAATGTAATATCTAATAAAAATAAAACCAAAATCATAAATGTAACGATTTCAACCACCAATTTATTATGTGCTTTGCAAAACAGTTTTATTGATGATATTAGCAATTATTACATATGATATGCGACTGCTGCAATAATAAATATATTATTTATAATGTTTACATATTACTGCAGATATTCGATAATTTTAGAAAATGGTTAATAATAAAAATATCGTAAGTTAAGAAAATTTGATAGTGTGGTATTACAAAATCGACTTGCATATTTATTTATGTTAAAATTTTCGTCAAAGTATTATTTTAAATACTTTTTTGAAAATATTTTGTAGATATTTAGTATTTATATTTAAATATTTTTTTTGAAGTGTATTTGTATTTGAATACAATTTTATTTAAATTAATATAAAATTTACCATTTTTTTACCACAGAATTTAACAAAACCGAAAAAGCAATTCCCTCATCTCAAACATCCAAGATGAAAATTTTATCTTCCGATAATGGATTAGTTTATAGCCCATCTATTGTTGGTGAAATAGATACTAGCCTAGCAGATGTAATATAAATTTGATTATAATTATTGCTAGTACCTGGGCTTAGCCGGTTTTTAACTACACCCAAATTATTCAAAATAACGAAATTTTAAAAATTTCTGACCAGGCCGATAAATTGGGCCAGACTTGAAAATGGGAATTTTTCCCAGGCCCTTGAAAAATTAAAACGTAAGTCTCTGGTACTATTTTGACATAATAAATGTAATGAAGATTAAGTTAGATGATGATTATCATAACCATGTAATTTACTTGATTAGTTAGGGTTTGAAAAAAGAATGATTTTTTGATTTAAATTAAATTTATAATAATTTAAAGAATGCTCTGGAAGAAAGTAACTCCCGAGCATAGATATTAATGGAATGTGCATAATTATTACATTAAATTTGTTTTATGAACAAATTATTGTTTAATAATCAATATTAAATTGTCTAAAAGTATTTTATAATCTTGTCAATATTTAATATTTGCTCATTTATGATAATTTAATACATTCTGAACATATAATTTATAATTAAAAAATTAAATTTTAATATTAACAATATGTTTATATTAGTTTATTTTAATTAAATTATTATTTTTACATAAACTGAATTAAATTATAATTTATACATCTAAATTTATCATAGTATTAACATAATATAGAATAAATATTAAGCAGGACAGAAATAATTATAGAGATTTTTGATACCCCCGTTAATTCAAACAATATCAAAAAATATATACTAGTTTATTATGCCAAAAAAAATTTCAGAGTTAACGAAAAATATAAAATCATTTATAACAATAAAATTACGCAATTAATTAAAACTTATTGCAAAATATATTGAATATGATAAAATATTTTCATTTATAAACAAGAAATATTAATTGTGATATATACAAAAACAAGAATTGATTTAAATAAATTTGATTAAATCATGCCGACCCTCGTTATGTTCTTATTGGATTACATTTTTTTAAAAAATATTATTAATTTAAATAGAATTAATTATGTTGTGGTCCCTTATAATATATATTCACGTAACTTCCTAACAAAAAATAGAAGCTTCTTATATTGATTTAGCAAAGTTACTAATTATACATGTTAAATATATTATTATATTTATATAATATTAAAATATTATTCTAAACTTTTATATCATTTTAAATTTACTATGCTCTTTTCACATGTTCAAAATAAGTTTAAAATGATATTTTTTTTTTATCAAGTTTGGAATGATACTTTGTAAGAAAGAATGCTGTAAATGTTTTTTTATATATTACTTTATATAAAAAGTCTAAATCTAAAAAGAAACGATATAAATTGTCCGATTTTGAATTAATGAAAGTCATAGGAAGAGGCAGTTATGCAAAAGTCTTTCTGGCCGAGTTAAAGGACACAAAAAAGGTCTACGCCATGAAGGTTATCAAGAAAGAATTGATCAACGACGAAGAAGTTTACTTTTTTTTCTTTTATAAATTGTATAGCATTATACCGAGTTATAATATATTTTGTCTACCAAAACAAGATTAATTTTATTTTAAGGGATGATAAGAATTTTAAAAATTTATTTTCATAGATAAGACATTTTAATACCTTAGTAAAGGCCATAGTTCAGCCTGGAGCCATTTTTTAAAGGCTAAACTGAACTATAAACCACAATGTAAAGACTTCATTATCAAAAATCTAAATAAGATTAGTTTAAAAGTGTATTTCATTAAATATATTTTGTTGAACTACAACTCCTTCATTATCCAATGTACCTTTATATGGATTGTTACCACCAATCTGACTTGCCATAGCATCCTCATCAGATTCCGCCTATATCTAATTTAATCTTTAATTCTACTTTGTTGAACTCTAACTTTTTCATTATCTCCTCTTCTTCTGTCTAAATCATCAACATCAATAATTCCTTCCAGTTCCAACATTTTGAACATTCATCTCAAACTCAATATCGCTTCTTTCTTGATTATCTAATAAATATAAAATAAGAGTTAAAAAACTTTTAATTAAATTACTTAGAATTTTAAACAAAAAAGCTTCATATACTGATTTGGATCTTAGAAATGTTCTTAAGAAGGGCATAGTAAATTAAATTTAAAAATGAATAATATAGTTGATTAGTGATTTTGAACTCGGCTAACACAAATCACAATTTTAAAATAGATTAATTTTATTTTCAATTAATAAATGATTAATTTTATTTAATTAGGATTTTAAAATAATTTAAATAATATTAAATCAATTGATTTTTAAAAATAATATCAATATATATAATACAAAATCTAATTCTAAAAGAAAATCGTCCAGAGGGCTATAAAAAAATATTTTTTCGTTGAGGCGGTTATTCAAAAAAAATTTTCATTCACGGGTTATACAAAAACAAATTCAAAAAAGAAATTTCATGAGCTCCTGCTCTCACCCATAGTGACGCTACTGGTTAGACAGCTTTTAAAATACAAAGAAATAAGCATATTGTAATTTGTTTTCAAAAAGTATTAATCAAAATGTTAACTTGTAATTCAAAATAATAAATTAAAATTTTAATATCTGGGCTGGCTATTAAAATTTTAAGAAAAATCAGAGATTTGCGATGCCCTACCTGATATTATAAGAAGAAATTATCCGGCCCCGAAATTTTTTACGGACGAATTGCCCAGCCCGTTAAATTTTTTGTCCACTCGGCCATTCTTCCGGCCCGGCTTTTGGAGGGGCCGTGCTTTGCAGATTTCTATTATAAATATTTTACCTAAATGATATTATATTATTTTAAAATGATTTCCGAATTCATATTTAGTGCCAATCTGTACGATTACTTTATTTTATATAGAAATTTTATTAGGCTCAAAAGTTTCTATCTTTTATCATTTTTTTAAATTAAAATTTTTATTCAAATTATGTTGGTGATATTTTTATAGGATATCGATTGGGTTCAAACCGAAAAACATGTTTTTGAAACCGCAACGAATCATCCTTTCTTAGTTGGACTTCATTCCTGTTTTCAAACTCCTAGCAGGTATTTAATACTTTAATATTATTTTACAACTATTTACGAGGAAACGAAAACTCCGAAATCTTGATAAAAACGAGGATTATTTATATATGCTACCCATCAATGTGTTTTTCCAGCAATTTGTTGATTTTTCAAATTTGAATCATTTTTTGAACCCGTTTTTTTAAATATAAAAATCTGATTTTACGGGAAATGTATTCATGTTTATAATACCTATCTTATGAATAGTAGACAATCTTGCGTTAATATTTGAGTCATTTATAACACTGTGTGACAAGAAAAATGGGAGAAGAAAATAAAAACAAGTTTTGGTGTAGAATATTACGCTGAGTTCGAATCCGTTTTACAAATTTTCCCTACACTTCAAGTTTTAAAAATATTACCGTATAACTTTTCAAAATCTTAAAAATGGTAAATTTAGGTCTTTATACGGATATTTTTTAAAAAGTATCGAATAAAAATCCCTGAAAATTGGTGATAGTGTTAAACTTATATTTCTTTATAAATTTACTAATTTTTATAATTTTTTATCGATTGGTTTTTGAGAAAAATGGTAAAGAATTTCGTTTCGAGGGTCTTAAGTTTTCAATTTAAATTACTATCAAAATTATTAACTTTAGAAGATAAATTTTATATAATTTTGCTTCAAATATGCTCAAGATTATATATTTCTAATTATGTTTCAAAAGTACTCTATGCCATGAAAATTCAACCAAAATCTATAAATTAAAAAAGTCGGTACAGATATTTTTCGAACTTTTTAATTTGTACACTTTTATTGAATTTTCTCTGCATAAAGCATTTTTAAAGCAAAATTAAGGTAATATTTATCTTTTTTAGTTGCATTTAGTAATATTTTATGCATTTATGATCAATTTATACCAAAATCAGATATCTGTACCCACTTTTTTAATTTGTACTCTTTTTGAATTGAGCATTTTTGAAGCAAAATTCATTTAAAATGCAATAATTGCTAATTTTTTCATATTTTTTATTATTATTTATCTTTTTTAGATGTATATATTTGTTTTTTTAATCAATTTATATCAAAATATATGATTTTCCAATGGAGTACCTTGAACCCGTAGTATGGGCAATAAATAATAATGCCAAATAACGAGTAAGAAGAAAGGAGAAGAATTATTTTTTTCCGCGCTTAATTTTTCATAAACATTTAATTTCTTTCATTAATTTTTTTTTAAATTGGATTTTAAATATTATTCAAATTCCCTCCTTATATAATATTCTACAAAAAATTAATGCCGAGGTCCCCTTGTTTAAAGTGTGTCTCTAAATTTTGTTACATCTGTGCGGGCTATATATTGCCCGCACAAAAATGTCCAATTTCTCCAATCATTCAAAGGATTTATGAAATTTATTACAATATTCCACTCTGCGATTTGGATAAACCATTTGCCCCTAATTACATATGTAAAACATGTTATAATTCTTTTAATTCATGAGTAAATGGAAAACGGTCATATTTGCCTTATTCGAAACCTGCATTTTGGCACGTAGCAAGAAATCATTCGTGGGATTGTTATTTTTGCTCGATTAGTACATTTGGGTTTAACAAAAAAAATAAGAAGAAAATTCGTTATCCTGAAATTTCGTCGGTTGTTTATCCGGTAAAATATAATATGCATACAACAGTTCCTTTTTTTAATAGTTCGCAGCTCAAAAAATTACGTTGCCAGGACAATGACAATATTGATCTTGAGTATCATCCCGAAGAGGATTCGCCATTTATGTCACAAGAGCAACTAAATGACATAACCAGAAATTTACAACTTTCAAAAAGAAAGTCCGAATTTTTAGCCTCAAGGCTTAATGATTTAAAATTTAAAAAAACGGAGTTCGAACTTCATACCGATTTTGTAGAGCATCGTTTAAAAATTTATTCTCTTACGAATTTTTTTTATACTATTCCAACAATCTAGGTCAATTTTGGTGCCCGATGAATAGCGCTTGTTCATCGATTCAAGCAAAAACAGCTTAAAAGCAGTTTTACTTCATAACGGAAATTTTAAGCCATCAATTCCCATCGCCTATTCCAACCAGTTAAATGAATCATATGATGATATGAAATATTTATTGTCAAAAATAAATTATTCCATTTACGAATTTAAAATATGCTCCGATCTCAAAATTATCGCAATCCTGACGGGCCTTCAGTTAGGCTACACCAAGCATTCGTGTTTTCCTTGTCTCTGGAATTCCAGAGAAACTCTAAAACATTATACAGTATCTGAATGGGAGGATCGTCCCAACGTTCTTGAAAAAAATCGCGTAAATATCCCGCTCGTTTCTAAAAATAAGATTTTGTTGCCTCCGTTGCACATAAAATAGGACTAATCAAAATTTTTATCAAAAAATTGTCCGAGGACCCCACGATATACCTTAGAAATTTTTTCCCCAAGCTTTCCCAAGCAAAAATAAAAGAGGGGATTTTAGTGGGCCCCCAAATAAGAAAAATTTATGAAGGACAGTTTTTTTGAGGATGAATTGTTACTCATTGATTTAAAAGCATGGGGATCTTTTAAATGGATATGTAGATCGTTCCTTGGCAATCATAAATTAGCTGACTATCGTGAGAAAATTGATGACCTATTAACAAATTATAAGGAAATGGGATGCCGAATGTCCCTCAAAATCTATTTTCTTCATTCCCATAAAGATTTTTTTCCTGAAAACTTAGGTGCTGTGTCAGAAGAAATGGGGGAGCGGTTCCATCAACAGATAGAAAATCTCGAAAAGTTTTATCACGGCAAGAATCGTATAAATATGTTGGCGGACTACTGGTGGAGTATCTTTTTTGAAGATAAATCATCAACTTCATATTCGCGGAAATATATTTAGATTTACCATTAAATGTTTTTGTTATTGTTTAATTTGTTTTAAATTCAATAAATTTATTGTATATTACAAGTTAAATCCTATATAATAATGAAGGAGGAGGTGGGACAACGGACCGATAAAAGGTTTATTAAAAGTAAAATATGAGATAGGTTAGCTTAGCATAATATATTTATTTAAATATGAGAAATATAACTATTTCATTTAAAATAAATTGTTTGGGAATCGTACCGTTAGCGAAGGGAACGAAAGCCACAATAAATAAATATATTAAATGTAAGCTATATTAAAAAAGATTTTATAAATAAAGGTAAATTTAAAAAATTTGTTGTTTAAAAATTGAGTAAGGATTTTATAGAAAAAAAATGTATAATAATAATAAGGAAGGTTTGCTGCAAAAATTAAGATATTTTTTTAGTTGTAGGGATCATTAGAACCAAAGTTATAAACCTTCAAAAAGTGCTAAAAATGACCCTTTTGGCCATTTAAACCTAAAATAAATAAAAAAACCTGACGTGCTAGAAAAAAACTGACAGCGGATTTAGAATATGCATAAAAAACTGTCTTAAAACGTGTTTATTTTATTTTCTCCCAAAAAATCAAATTTGTCAATTTATATAAAAACATATGGAAAAACTAATATAAATTATATTAAGTTAAAAGGATCATGGGTTGTCTAATATTCATAGGGTAGGTATTTCAAATATGATGGAATACATTTCTGGCAAAATCAGATTTTTAGAATTAAAAAACGCGCTCAGTAAATGATTTAAGTTGAAAAATGGAAAAAAAACATAGTCTCGAACATATATAAAGATAAAGAGGATTAATTAAAAATAAATAAAACGATTCAAAACTTAGATTTAAATAATGTTGTTACATTTATCAAAGGCTTATATTCGTAATAGAGTTTGTAAACGGTGGAGACCTTATGTTTCACATGCAAAGGCAAAGAAGGCTTCCCGAGGAGCATTCCAGATTCTATTCGGCCGAAATTATTTTAGCCCTCAATTTCTTGCATCGCAAAGGTTTATTTCAAATATTATTTTTAACATGATTTCCCAATCCTCTTTGTTATTGCCTTATTTTTTTAGGTTTTTATATTATGATTTTGGATTATTTTTACAATTTAATAAAATTTTATGAAGATTCTTTATTTCTATTTTTCAGGAATCATATACAGGGATCTAAAACTCGACAACGTATTATTGGACTGTGACGGCCACATTAGACTTACCGACTATGGCATGTGCAAAGTAACAAATACATTTGGTTCAAATTAATAATAGTTTTTTGGTATACCTAGCTAAGCCCATAAATAAATTGCCTAAACTAGTTTAAATATTATATTGTTAGGTTGCTTTGTTATTTTAAATTAGAGAAGGTCCGTCCTGTCTTTTTTTCAGGATGGGGCGCATCTTATGACACTATACCTGTAGTGGGACACATCCTCGGCCCGGTCTAACTTTTAGGCCTTCCAGACCGTAGCCCTAACTTTTAGGCCTTCCAGACCGTAGCCTTTGGGAAGGCCTGGCCATCCCCAAAAAATTGTCAACCTAAGCCTAGTCTCCAGGTTTTTTGACCAGAAATGGTCTCCTATATTATTCAATCCCCAAATTCTTAAAAAAATTGAAATTTTGATTCGCACATTTACTATTAAAAGAAAAAACAATACGATATCCGTTTTTTTATTCCTCGAGCTTTCTTTTGGTTGAGATGATTACTTTTGAATTTGGGAAAGAAATAACTAGTTGTTTTTATTTAAATTTAAAATATGTACATTTATTATTTAAAAATCTTAGTCACACCAGTTACATCTTTAAAAATCATTAGTTTGTCTAGAACCAGGATATATTCTTAAAGCTAAAAGAATAGAAAAAATAGATGTTACAATTAAAATATAGATTTTTTATGCAACACGCATTTATTTAAACTACTTTATTTTGTGATTATTTCCTTTTCTTTGGTCTTACCTTTAATTTAATAATACAACAAGCATGAATATTCCTAAAATATATATTATTATTTATTATCTATGATAGAAAATTTTTACATAAAATATAATAAAATGGTTTTAATATTTAAGAAAAATGGGATGCGCTATGTTTCATCCAACCACTCGCGTTATTTATTTTAAGGGTTTATAATTTATGAAAAAAATTACAATGGATGTTGTTTAATTATGTGTCGTTTTTAAATATAGCTATAGAATAAAATAACGAATAATTATACATAACTCTGCATTCACAGTTGGCTCGAATTCGCGGCGAAGCATACCGTAAAATTATTATATTTATATCTTATTTTGTAGATTTCGCCGCGAATTCACGATAACTATCAACACAGTATAATATTTTTACTAGATGATTCTTTAAACATGGTTAATATATTTAGTTAAATTTGTTTGTTTTTTTAAAGTATGTTTGCAATACGCCCTTTTATGGATACGATACGAGCATGTCCTTCCTCCGATTCCACAATATTCTCATTCTCAGAAAATTCTTTGATAAAACTATTTCCATTTTCAGAGCCGATATATTCTTTATTCTGAACTTGCAGGAAATTATATGAATAAAATGGAGGCTCAAATTTTCTAATTTAAACTTGTTTATAAAAAATTATTCCATCTTTTTTGAAAATTGAAAAAAATGGGTTAGTTTTTAATAGTCTATATTCTGGATGTGGATGGGATGCGTCTAAAGATGCTATATATGAGACGAAACACGCCCAGTTTTGGACGACAATACTTTACCTTCTTTACACAAAATCATGAAGATTTTGTTTCTAGTTTATTTATTTTGGTAAATCAATTTTACATGTTTATGTTATTACTTAATTCAGGAAGGTCTAAATGTAGGCGACAGAACGAGTACATTTTGTGGGACTCCTAATTACATAGCTCCCGAAATTTTACGGGGTGACGATTATAGTAAACATTTTCTTGATTTTTTTAAAACCTTATTTCCAAATCAAACATTTTTTTACAAAATATATAGAATAGAATCCGTCAAAAACTATTTTTGATTTAAAAATATGATTAAGAGCAGTTTCAAGTGTTTATTAATTGAATAATTAATGGCTATATAAAAACTTGAGTTTATGCATATCTTCAACTATTATAATTTACTTAACAAAAATTATCAAAGGTTTTAGCGTGGATTGGTGGGCTTTGGGAGTTTTGATGTTTGAAATGTTAGCCGGACGATCTCCTTTTGATATAGTAGGGGCCACTGATAATCCCGATCACAATACAGAAGATTACCTATTTCAAGGTCCAATAATTTAGATTTTAAAGCTTTTCTTTTTAGCTCATAAATTAGCTTTAGAAATATAACCTTTTTAAAATATTCTTATATTTAAAACTTTATTTTAGTTATATTGGAAAAAACTATCAGGATTCCTAGGTCGATATCCGTTAAGGCAGCCTCAGTTTTGAAAGGATTTCTCAATAAAGTTTGATATAATTAATTATTGAATACATACATAAAATTAATTTTCTAATTTTGAATTTTGTTCAACATAATCATTCTAGGATCCCGTAGAAAGACTAGGCTGCCATCCTGAAACTGGGTTTAAGGACATTATCATGCATTGCTTTTTTAAAACTATCGATTGGGATATGGTAACATTAACAAATATATACTTTATTCAATTATTTTTTCTTTTTTATGTTTTTTTTTATCTCTCTACCCTTTAAGCTCGAAAGCAAGCAATTGACTCCCCCTTACAAGCCTAAATTGAGCAATGATCGTGCTGTCGATAACTTCGATCCACAATTTACCAATGAACTACCCATATTAACTCCCGACGACCAGTAATTTCTATAAAATTGTTTACCTAATTAAATCAATCAATATCTTGAGTAATTGGGAAAATATATGATGCGTTTTATATTATTTATTATCAAATCGGGTTTTAAAGCGGATTAAGGCATAAACCTTTCCAGTAGATGTAACCTTTTATTTTATTAGTATGAGCTCTTGTTTGAAAAGAAGGGTTGTAGTTTTTAAATAATCTTTTTTTATCATAATATTAAAAATTATAAGTTTTCTTCCATATAAATTTTTTAAAAAAATCAAAAATAAAAATTTAATTTTTTCTTATATTTATTATAGGACAGTACTGGATAGAATAGATCAAACCGAATTTGAGGGATTCGAATTTGTCAACCCTTTGCTTAACATCTTTGATCAGCTTAAATAAAGCGATATGATACTTTTTTTAAATTGGCACTATTTATTGTAATGACTATTTTCCCAGCTTAAGACATTTCAATCACTTGTAGAAAAAAAACATTCCTAATATATAACTATGTATATATAATATTTTGATATGAATTTATTTAAATCTAACTTAAAAATCACCGTTTTAAATATTTATATTATAATAAATTTCCACAAACATTATTTTTTTACCATTTAAAGAAATATTTTGTATTTATGAAAATTTTAAATATTTTTAGACAAAACACATTAATAATAATCGTATAAATTATTCTTGTTTTATTATTTATTTTCGAGTACGTTTATATTTTTGTAATTATTGCACCACTGGACTTTACAATATGTATTATAACCAAAATTTTATTTGTTCATCGCAGAATAAATTTATTTTAATAATTTCAATTCATACATAAAATAAAAACGCAGTGCTCCTAAAATTTATATAAATTTATTTTAGACGATGTTTTGTTTGTTTAAATACAATGTTGATTTTTTAAACTAGAAAGAAAACTTGGTAGTGGAGCTTAGCTCTCGATGATTATTCACCCATCTTCATCCACCACTTATTACAAATACAAATAGTAAAGGACTCAAACCAGACCATTAGTATTTGGTTTAAACCTCAAAGCTAGCTATTGGCTGTTCTGAATTGACTTCGCGCGAGGTCCTGTAAAATGCCTTCTCTAGATCAACAACATATTATTTTCCTTTACTTGATGTTTTTCCTGCATTTCCTTTATGATAATAATCGAATCCTATGGCTCCTTTCTTAGGTGAAAATCTTTAGAACTCTTTCATCTGCAATGTTTGTTCCCCAGAATTCTTAAAGTGGCTAGATACTTGAATTCTCTTATCTGTTTTTTATATCTAGATACATTTTAGCTTTATCGATATACAATTTATTACATAAAAAAAATATTGAATTCTATTTTTTGAATTAATTATCAGTTCTAGTTTATTTTTTTACAATTAAAAAAATAGACAAGTTTCATTTTATACATTGGATGACCAAAAAATTAAAAGATTTACTATTTTATTCTTTAACACTTTTTAGAGAATATGAATAAGGATACAAATTTTGGCATCCATCAAACTTTGAATGAAGATTATCTTAATAAAAAAGGCCCAGTATAAAGACTTTTTAGTGCATGACTAAAAATGAAAATAAAAATATATTATGTGGGTTAAAAAAGTAGTAGACATTAGAGAACTGCATTCGGGGTCGGGTTGTAGGAACTGTCCGACCCGAAAAATAAATATCCTAAATAATCATTAGTTCACGATGTCAATTAAAAAACCATATCATTTTTTATTTATTACATTTTATCCTTAAAATATCAATCATAATAATATATTATCTTCAATTAATATTTTATAATTTACGTAACCATATACCAAACTATTTTATGTGATTATATTTTAGTACATTGCATTGCATAGTTAACTTTCGGCATTTTAATTTCGGGATATGAAAATGTTATTCCGAGAACATTATAAAGATTTGTGCCAACATATTAACACGTTGATAAATGCAGAGAAGATCAATAGAGATATTTTTGTGGAAAAATTTATAAATATCAACTCACCATCTAGCTCCTACTCAACTGATAGAGTATTAAATAAATTCATTAAATTAATAATAAAATTATTTATTAAAAAATAATAAAGTAAATATATATCTTTAAAATTATTATTATATTATGAATATTTATTTCTTAAAAAAATACTGAGGCGGATACGTTTTGAATTTCTGTTTATGGTAGGCTGACAATGCGTTTTCTGATGCTAGCGTTGAAGGTGACGAACTTCAAAAATGCCTAGATGCTAAATTATATATTGAAGATGATAATATTTTAAAATAATTTCCAAATTTAAGTATTTTGGCTCTTAAATTCCTAGCTATCCCTGCTTCGTCAGCTAGCAGTGAAAGAGCGCTTGGACTCGTTTAAAGCCAAATAAACTGGACTTCTCATTATTTATATATCATAATTATTTGCTTTGTAATTTGATAATGATATTGATATGCCATTATAATATGTTCATTATTATATTTTTTAATCTCTATATTAACTATAATATCATCTACATTTTACATAAATCATGCTTATTGTTTTTATATAATAGCAATAATTTTTAAATTCGATTGTATTTTAACTTTCTTATAATATTTTTTACAAATTAAATAAAATGCAACTTAATGTATATTTGATTAGATTATGGCCGTCAAATAAACTTTTATTTAAGGTGGCGATGAATAAATACATATAATTTTTTTTGGTTATTATAATATTCTAACTCAAATTGTAAAATTTTATTCGGGCTCGGGTCTGGTTGAACTGAAAAATGTGTGCTCGGGTCGGGCTCGGACAAATTTTTTTAAAATTCGGACTCGAGCTGCGAAAAAATTACTTTGCAGACCTCTAGTTGGCATATATCCTTGATTAGAAATTCTGCTTAATCAAATGTTTGGAGATATTTTCTTTCTAAGATATAAATTTCTTTTGATACCCAGTAATAGTAACTAATTTTTTACCAATACCAATTAATTTTTAAAAACAGATCGCTTCTCTCTCATATTCCCAATATCATATCAAACTAGTAGCGGTGTAAAGTGTGGGGGGGGGGCTCAAGTCTTCTTAAAGAGAGCCTTCCAAACGAAAATTTTTTGTAAAATATAATTGTTTTATTTTAAAGTTAACCTTCTCACATTTAATAAAATTCAGAAGTATTTGTAAAAATACTCGGAAAAACTATCCGATCTTGCGGATGATTTTCCACTTTTAATATTCATTTTAATAAAGCACATCTTCAACTAAATACTCTCATTGAAATGTCTAATTTTGAAGGAGTGAAAATAAATATTCTAAAAGCAAAAATCTATACAAATCAAGTTCATACTACCAACTTTAAACTCAGCGATAGTCATATAAAATTTATTACTAACTAAGCATAACGGCGATCCCGGGAACAGTTTTGGAATGAACTGAATGATAATGTTATGTTAAAATTTTATTTATTATATAATGATTTATTCATAAATTTTATTTTCTTAATCCAGTTTGCTTTTTACATAACAATATTACCCCTTATTTAGAGTTCCATGTCAATTCAGCAAAACTTTTAATGCAGGATTTTATAGCAATATTTTTATCACGAATACATATTAGCGAATACTATTCCGCAAAGACAATATCGCGAAAATTTTATGCGACGTCATTATAGCGAAACCTAAATCGCGAAGACAATATGGCGAAAACTATTTCGCGTAACAAATATCGCGAAGATATTTTCGCGAATTTAATATCATGAGGTCAATATCGCGATAATTACTGATTGTGACTAAGACTATTTTATTTTGAAACATTTATTTTTATGATCATATTAATTGAATAATATTTTTTAAAGAAAAGACAAGATTGATTCAATGATAAAGTTTATAATTTTCATTTAGTCTTAAAAAAATTATATAATGATTAATAAACTATTTGGTTTATAAAATTTATTAATGGAATAAATTTTTTTTTGCTATCGATGCTTTTCCTCGAAATCTTATTTTATAAGAATCGCGCACAATGAACTCAGGCTTTATTAGTATATTAATCATTGAGTTCATTAATTAAACCTTGATCTTTATGGGCGAAATTGATATCTTGGTTGCCATATCTATTGTCAGAGTACTTAATATTTATAAATTTTTAAATCAGTTTTGCCAGTCATTAACCAAAAACAGAATTATATTATGTCTTTTTCGAATTTTGAATGGCAATTCAAAATAAATTACATTTAAGTTAAATAAGGGATTTCCCTAATTCAAAATATTTCGAATCTTATGATTTTACGATCTTTATAGTTATTTTTTTTTATCTAATCTGTTCACTTAGATAAAAAAAATATTATTTCAAATTATTTGATAGGAATCTGAATCTAATATTAAGAGTTAAGACGCACCTTTAGGCATGAAGTTTGCCAAACTTTATTAAGTATATTCTTTTTTTCCCGTAATTACTCAAAATTAAAACTACTTTTAATTTTTATTGAATTCCCAATAGATGATTTTGCTAAGTAAAATTTTTATTCTTACAGGAATTTCTTAAAAAATATAACATATCGCTCCGAAATATTTACTATTTCTTTTATTTCTAAATGTACAAGCATGATTTTTTGAGTTTTAAAATTAATCTTTACTCTATGTCTTAATAACTCGGAAAATTTAATAAAAAAATTTTTAAGAAAATTAGAAAAAAATTACTTAGCAAAATCTTCTAAGATTTTTAAAAATAATCTGAGAAGAGCAAAAATTCTTAGTTTTCAGTATTTTATATTTCGATTAGAAAAATTTCTAATCATTTCAGAATATTTGCTTATATTTACTTTTAATGGTATAAAGCACATTTTAAAAATTTATGTGGGAGGGAGGGGGGGGGGATTAAATTTATTGGAGTAAAAACCTGAACCAACCTCCGTACTTAACCATGAGTTAGAAGAGCCAGAAAGAAATTAGTTAATTTATTTTTCAACATATACATGCTTACATATAAGTAACAAAAGATCCATAAAACATTTAGCTTTTATGATTTAAGGAACTTTGGGTAAATAAATATTGAATATGTTGTTTACCTTTTTTAAATAAATGCATTCGCAATATATTTATTTTCGCGGTAATGCGCTCGCGATAATGAATTCACACAGACACATTCACGGTAAAAAATTTGCTATAAAGGGTTCGTGATAAAAGTTTAGCTAAAATGCATTCGCTCTAAAGTTTCGCGGTTAAGGTTTCGCTGAAATAAATTTGCGACAATGGGTTCGTGATATTGTCTTCCTATAAATGTTTCGCGGAAAAAAATTTGTGGAATTGGTTTCACGATTTTAACTTCACTATAAAATTACTTTGCGATAAACGATATTCGTGATAAAAGTTTCACTGATATAATAAAATATTTTGATCATATTTGAAATAATTTTAACAGTTTAATTATGAAATTAATATTGTATAATAAAGTATTTGAATTTCTATAATAGTGTTCAAGCTAGAGATGTTTTTCGACGTTCATAGCACAAATATAAAGGGTAATCATTTTGAAAATAACTCAATTAATACTACATAGTGTAAAATTGATATAATATATTATAAAATAAAAATAAAATGAGATATTTTTAGTAATGCTTTTCGGAATTTTCCTATACCAATAACGTAATGGGAACGGAACCTTTTTTTGACCAGAACTGGCACGGAGCAGGAACGCAAAAATGCATTCGTTCCAGGTCCCTGATATCTAGGTTTCTACGCTGTAAAGACTAAATACGACTTTAAATCTAGGGAGAAAATAATCA